TCAAAATGACATCCTTATTCTTTAACACTTTAAAACAGCGGTTCTCAATTTGTGGGTTGCAACCCTTTTGGGGCTCAAATAACCCTTTCACAGGAGTCACCTAATATATCCTGCATATCAGATATTTACATTATGATTCATAAAAGGAGAAAAATTACAGTTATGAAGTAGCTGTGAAAATAATTTTATGGTTGGGGGGGGTGGGCTTCACCACAACATGAGGAACTGTATTAAAGGGTCATGGCCTTAGGAAGGTTGAGAACCACTGCTTTAAAAAGAATTGTGCAGAATATTTGGTCAATGTGAGATCTTTGACATCTTTAATCGTTTTTTCCATTTGTCATGATGGTGTGGGTATATGAGTACAGTCATGAGGACTTTTATTTGCTCTACATTGAGTTGTAGAGTTGTAATCCAATCTGAAGGATTCAATCTTGGTCTTTCACCACCAAGTGCTTCAAGTCCTCCTCACTTTCAGCAAGCAAGGCTGTGTCATCTGCACATCACTGGTTGTTAATCAGCCTTCCTCTAATCCTGATGCTATATTTTTCTTCATATGTTTCGGCTTCTCAGGTTATTTGCTCAGCATACAGATTGACTTAGTTTTGTAGAAGGATATAACCTTAACCTTTTCTGACTTTAAGCCAGACAGTATTCCCTTGGTTGGTCCCAACAACTGCCTCTTGGTCCACGTGTAGGTTCTCTATGAGCACCATTCTGCTTAATGTTAGCCACAGTTTGTTATGATCCACACAACCAAATGCCACTGCATAGTCCATCAAACACAAGTAAATATCTTCTCGGTCTTCTCCGCTGTTAGCCCTGGTGGGGCGGGCTGTTAACCGCAAGGTGAAACAGATGAAGCTTTCTGCTCCCGTAAAGAGTTGTAGTCTTGGAAACCCACAGAGGCAGTTCTACTCTTTTCTGGATACTAACCTAAAAGTTGGTAGTTCAAACCCACCCAGTGATACCACAGAAATTTTGCATAGAATTGTCTCTCGATGACTTTGAAAGAAAGGACATCTTTCAAATTACATGTTGGGCTGCCAACCACAAGGTCAGTAGTTCAAGACCACCAGCAACTCCTCGGGGGAAAGATGAGGCTTTCTGCTCCTGTAAGGAGTCACAGTCTTGGGTATCCACGGCGGTGGTTTTACCCTGTGCTTTAGGGCCACTATGAGCCAGAATGGACTTAATGGCAGGGAGGTTGAGGGTTTTTGATATTCAAGAACAAGATGTAGCGTTTTTATTTAGGTATATCTACAATGGCTATTCATATTTTGTTAGGAATTCCTCATAGGAATCTTATTGTTTTGTTGCTTTTATAAATGGTACCTTAAAATATTCACTTTTTAACTGATTTTACCAAAATCACAGCATGGCAACTGATTTTTATATAGCTATCTTATATCCAGCAGCCCCAAGGAACGCTGAACGAGTTTCTTTCTTCCTCGTTTTTGTTTTAAACATAAGAACTGTGTTTCTAGGGTAAACTAATGACAAATGTGCAGCCCTGGCTTCCAGGCTCCAGTGTGGATGGAGGAGGCCATCTCTCGGCAGTCAACTCAGAAAGAGACACAGGATGTCAAGAGCATTTGGTTTGGGAACCAAGGGTCTCTGTCAGATGACTCCTCCAACCCCCTTCCCCACCTTACTTCTTTGAAGGCTGTAGCCAGTTTTGCACAGGTGAGGGCAGCAGAAAGGGGATAGTTCCTGATGGACACCATCTTCCCTGAACACCCCAGGTCGATCTGGCCATGGGCAAAGGTCCCCACAACAAAGACAACAGGGTCACTGCCGGGTACCAACTCTCACACATCACCAACAACTGGCTGGAAAGAGAAGTGCCAATGTTCATGCATCCAACTGCGAAGTGATCTGACACTGCATTCTTCAGTACCTTCAGCAGTTTCTGGGGGCCATCAGCTGCTCGAATGTGGAGTCTATGTAAAAGCTGAACCCTGAGGCCACAGAAGGGTCAAAGGTTCCGGGGCCCCGCTGTGCTTCAACAGCATAGACGTGTGCTTGTCCCGGTTCAGTAGTTCATAGGTCTTCCTTACCTTGACTGACTCCAGACTGGCCCCTTCCAGCACCACAATGGGTCTGCAGCTTCCAGTCTTGCTGCCCCAAGTAGGGGCTGTTTGGGCACCAAAGCATCTCAGCTCTGCTCTGGTTCCTGGGCACCACTGCCCACAAGCATGCGTTTCCTTCTTGATGGGCCACTTCTCCTTCACTAGATAGCTGTCTGGGCACTCTGGTGTGAAATTGATATGACTGGAGTTGGGGAGTGCCGAGAGGAGGGGCGTGGATGACTCACTCCATCACCCACATCTCCTGGCACTCCTTTGAAGGGAGCCAGTCCCCATGCGCCTGACTGTCACTGTCAGGTGGACTATTCAGACCCAGACAGACAATCATTGCCTTTGATTTGGGAGTTGATGGCCTAGTTGTCCTCACTTCCTATCCTATTTGGAGCCCTTTTCTTACCAGTCAGCTCTCACCTGTAGCTGCCCTTGTTTCCTATCAGAGAATTGTGTGAAATACCTTTCACAGTAATAATCACAAATTCTGAGCATCTGTTTGGTAATGTTGATTACTGGCTATTCTGGTCACCCAACTGCAAGCTTCATGCATGCAGGGACCAGGTGTGCTCTATTTACCACTGCATCCACAGTAACACACCTACTGCTAAGAATGAGTTAATGATATAAAACATCTGTTATTTTTAATGGTAGCAGTCCTTTTGCACTGTCAGTGAAATATACATAAGCATTTTACTGGTATACCCTTCTGTTGTCTTCCTAATTGCTGTTTAACATAGATATTGCTCATCGCCATTTGACAGTTGAGAAAACAAGTAACATGGTCCAAACCAGTCGATCTGAAAACAGAATTCAAATAATCTAACTCAGAAGGGAGGCCAGCAGACAGATTAAGAACACTCCCAAGCAACATTATTCTGCCAAAATCATGTTGTCTGGTGCCTCTGAGCCAATTCTGATTCGAGTTTTATGTCAACTTGCTGTAGGGGGCTGGGTGGGGTTGTGTGTATGCATGTGGGGCGTGGGGCAGAATTCTCGCAGGAGAGGATCTAACCCAGTGTGGGAACTCCATGATGGGATCTTCTGTAAAGCAGCCAGGCAGTTGTGGGAAGAACAAGGCAGAGAACCACACCTCCTTTACCGGGTCACAACCTTGATACGATTGAGGAACGTTTCGTTCAGGGTGTGGCCCACTCCGTATGGAATGACAATCTGTGGAAGCTAACGCACTTCTTCACCACGTGTCTATCAGTTTGTCATCCGGAGTGGCTGGTGTGCTGCTGTGAGGCTGGAAGCTCTGGCACCGGTGTGTCAGCAGGGCCACCCAACGTGAAGAGGCTTCCGCGGAGCTTCCAGACTAAGAAGAGACAACGAAGAAGGGCTTGGCTTCTCCCTTAGGAGAAGGAGCTGCTCAAAATCTTACGCATAGCTTCGAAACGCTGTCAACAAAGAAGGCGTAATGCACGGATGCAGAGCATTGTCTGACACAGTGCCAGAGGACGGGCACCCTGGGTCAGAAGGCACTCCAAATGGACGACAATGGGCATCCGCAGAGGCACAGTGTGAGCATGGCACAGGACGGGGCAGCGTTTTGTTCTGCGGTGCACAGGATCACTCTGGGTTGGAAGTGACTTGATAGCATCTAACTACAGCTCCCTTCTGCTGCTGCATCTGCTTCATCCACCTCCTGCCACATCGCCCGCCGGCTCCAGGAGCCATCAGTGGCTTCTGGAGCTTAGATTTTTTCAGCTCTGCATCTACCTTCCTGTCAAGGGGTCTGCCTGCTTCCTGTTTGTCAGTTACCATAGCTACAGGCGTCAGAAGCCCCAAGTTGACATCTGACCCACAGCCTTGGATGGGATGACGCTCCCTCCACAGTTGAGGCATATGTTGAGATACATTCCCTCCTAGTCAACGATACGGAGACGCGTCACTGCGTTTGCTTCTCGTGAGAACCCAGACTAATACAGTGACCCAATGTGAATGCCGACAACTGCCCCATAGGGTTTTCTAGCCGGTACCTTTTAGGGACACGACCCTGAACCACTGGGTGGGTCCAAACGACCCATCTTCCAGGTAGAAGCTGAGCTGTTAATTGCTGCAGCACCAGGAGGGCTTGCGTGAATCTTCGAGGCGTGAGTAGTGATGGAATAAGTCGCCTTCTCCAGTACATTTCACAGCACCTTCTTTACTGGTGACGTCAGGTCACATAATCAAGCCTGGTCATTGCACGGAGGGCTTGAAACACGGCCTAAGTTTCCATTCAGGCTCCCATTCGTTCTCTCATAATTTTTCTGCCTTAGTCGGCATGACACAGAACGCGGTCTCTCTCTCTCAACATCTAAAAGCCACAAGGGAGTATCTTCCCGGCCTGGCTATGTGTGGGCGGGTACAGAACAGATCTAGCCACTATTTAAGAAAGAGCACAACTCTCCACTTCTTTGAATCAACGATTCCACACCCGGCCCCTGGACGCTCTTGTCCCGAGGTATCCTAAATGAATGGTTCTTCCCCTGCATCCTGATGAGCTGGCTTCATCTTGGGAAGATATGAAAGGAAAAATGAAAAAGAATCCCCACCCTCACCCCCTGCCTTTATTGCTTCAGCCTCAACGTCGTAAAAGAAAAATGACCCCTCCCTAGGTTAACAATGCCATTTTTGTGTGATGTGGGAAAGAAAACTACTTGGTTGCCACAGGGTACTCTGTACACAGGTGCTGATTGCTAGGTGAAGCACTCAGACAGAATGAGACCTTGTTATCGAGCCGATCGACACAAGAACACTGAATTACTGAGAAGCACCACTCACCTCTACCTGAACCCACAGAATAATGATAGGGTACGGAGGAAATCCTGTCTGCTACAGGAAGCCTTACCAGTTCAGGCTTCCTCTCGGGAACGGGCAGTGATAGTCTAGATTCTCGAGCCGAGTGAGCACAGCCCGAGGGCTCCAACGTACCCATGACCGAGACGTCGTATTCTATCTGCAGCGTTGCTTCTTGTCCGCACTGTTTCAGAATACTCATGGCTTCCGCATGCGTGGTCCCAAGAAGCCGGATGCCATCCACACTGAGCAGCCGGTCACCAGGTTTGATGGTGCCCTCTCTGGAGGGCAAATACAGAAGCAGCCCTTGTTAATGTTGTATCATGGGGCTCAGCATTCATAGTCATTTACAAAGTCTCCCTCTCACACCCACTCTGCCACCCATCCCATGTGCATGTCCTTTTCAGCATCAAGTGCAACAGCATGAGAGTTAAGAGGCAACCCTGAGTGGAAAATTGCTGTAAAATGAAAATTAGTAATGAGAAAATAACTATGCTGTAGCAAATAACCCAGTTACCCACAGTTAACTCTTACGGTACAAAAGGATGGGAGGCACACTTTCCTTCTCCCTGGGTTTTTGCCTGAGTGTCTAAAATTGATTTATCAGTGCCCATGAAATAGCATTCGCCTCTTTTCTCAAAGCCAGGTGGGCAGAAAAGCCTGCTGATTTCATTCAATTTATTACCAGTGAACCCAAGCGAGGTAGGGAGTGCTGGTGAAAAATTTCCCTAGTCTGTAAATTTTCCTACTGATTTATAAGACCATTTGGCAATCATTAAGTTGATGCAGTCTCACATCCTCTGGAAGAGGCAGGCAAATGCGATTCTCCCTGCTGTGGTCACAGCAGCTCAAGGCACTGGGAGAAGACGCCTCTGTGTGTTAGTGACATGTTAGGGACACAAGGCAACCTAAGCAGAGCTGCAGAACACACCCTCCTGGCTTCAGGGGAGCCACAGAGAGAGAACATCACATTGGAAAGACTTGGGAATAACTGAAATGAGCTCGTTAGTCTGGGTGATACATTTCCTCTAGATAAGCTAGCTCCTCGAGATGAGTTCATCTGCAGGATAAGTATTTTCATCAGGAGGGTATGTATATTTTGTGTTCCATCTAGGAAATTCGTTAGGTAGCTTAACCTTGTGTTTTCATCTTATTTTTTAAAAAAGGTATCTTTTAGTCCTAAATTAATGTACTGATAAGTTACTCATAAACTAGTAGCCCATTTCTGATGTGTCTTTAAATCCAACCCTGAATTTTGATAAGTAATGGGATATGTTCTTATTTATTTAGGAGAAGCATGAGGTTAAAACAAAATTTAAGAAATTTCCCAGGAATTTCTGACTTTGTGGTACCTTTCTTTTAGGCCATGTAAACATAACCGAGACCAGTATTTTCATATTTTCTTACTTCATCTTAAACATCATCTTTTTAAAGAGTGAGATGCCATTACAGACTTTGAATGAAAATATACTGGATTTGCGTCCTCCCCTAGTTCTGCTTAGTCACTGGCTAGTTATTTAAACAATCTGGGCCTTAGGATATAGATATATGTCCATCTGTAAATATGGGTAAAATACTTCACTTAGAGGGTGGCTAGAAAGGTAAACTATTGTTGGCCATGCACTTAGCACAGTTCCCAGCATACAGCAAGTGCTCATTAAATACTTATTATCACTACTCTATTGCTTAAAAAAAAAACCTTTTTTAAACTTATTTCTGGTCTGAAACAAAATGCAGAGATGAAATAATCAGTGCATTTTCTTCCTGCCCTTCAAGTCTATCTCCCGACAGCAGTTCTGTTCCCCCTCTATCAAGGAGTCGGCTTTCACTGGGGGAACTAGCACAAAGCTATGTCTTTCAGAGGAGTGTTTACTTGGGACCCACAAGGTTCATGATATGATCATTGAAGGAGCACTCTTTTCACACATTGAAATTTGCAGGCAAGAGAAAGCTCTAGAGACTGCAAATATTCCTCCCTTCGTGCTAAATGTCACTTCTGTACTGATGTACATAAGCAAAATGTGGTGAAGAAAGCAGATGGTGCCCAGCTATCAGGAAGAATAGCATCTGGGGTCTTAAAGGCTTGCCTTAAAGGCTTGTGTGACAGAAGGATGGTAAAAATAAAATCCAAATCCAGAGGAGGGTACTGTGTTATAGCTTAAGTTCTTTCTTTAATTCAATACTTTTATTGGGAGCTCTTACATCTCTTATCACAATCTATACATTCATCCATTGTGTCAAGCGTATTTGCACATATGCCACCACCATCATTTTCAAAGCATTTTTTTACTGGAGCCCTGGATATCAGCTCATTTCCCCCCTTCCCTATAGCTTAAATTCTGAACATCAGATTTTTCAGAAGGCCATGGATGACAGTGAAAGCCCAAAAATCAGTTGCAGAGTTCCCCTGTGGATTAAACCTGCCGGTGAATCCCCTCTGACTATGGACTAGGGATGGGAATGACCTTATTATCATGCAGAGTGCCTTGTAGGAGGGTTACTGAAGAGATATCAGGTTAAAATGTAACAGCTTAATATTTGGTCTCCCTTTTCATCCAATGTATATTTGTTCCAGTGTTTCTTATGTTCCGCTTTCTTTTTGATTGAGGTTCTGTCATTGTTGTTGGGTTTTGTGTCTTGTTATTGTTCCATATGGTTTTCTATATATAAAATCCAGGATAGGTAAGTCAACAGAGACAGTACCTGGATTAATTCCCTAGGGGCCTGACAGGGGAGGATGAAAGGATATGGGGAGCTAACAATAATGAGGACGAGGAAGAGGAAGTGTCTTACAATTGATTGTGATGATGATTATACAACTCACTTTTTATTATGCTTGAGCTACGGACATGTCGGGGAGCCCTGGTGGTGTAGTGGTTACACAGTGGGCTGTGAGCTCCACATGGGACAAGGACTGGGCTTTTCTCCAGCCTCAGAAACCTCCAGGGGTCATTATGAGTCAGCATTGACCCAACGGCGGTGAATTTGGTTTGGCATTGAAATGTATGATATGTGAATTATATGTCAATAAAACTGCGTGGAAACGAGTAATGCTAGTAGCAATAAAGATAAGGCTGCTAGTGATGATAAGAAGCAGGCTGCCTGTCTTTCCAGCAAGCAGTTAGAGCTGATGCCTTGAATGGCCCAGCTGCCTGCTAAGCAATTGCAGTATGGCAAGTCCTCCGCGAGGAACCATAAGCGGGGGGGCTTCAAACGTTCCTGGGAAAATGGGATTAAAAGACAGTGTAGATTTTCCAGGAGCTTTTTGAAGCCCCCTCGGATAGCTCCAATCTCTCATAAAACTCAACTATGAAACCTAAACCATGCAGCCAGGTGGATGCTGACCGATAGGGACCCCAGGACACAGCAGAACCAACTTTGGGGGTTTCCAAGCAGACTGCACCTTTTCCTGCCAGGTGGCTGCGAACCACCAATCTTCCTGTTTGCAGCTCAGTGCTTAACCATTGCACCACCAGGGTCCCTACAACCCCGCCTAAGGTAGGTCTTGCTATCTAAATTTTATGAGGAGGAGCTCGGAAATGACCCAGGCAGGACGTGGTAGACACCACAGTCAAACCTGGTTTGGGTTCTGCCTCCACAGCCTAATCACTTTCACTTTTCACGGTCTAACATATTTACTTAATATTGCTCTCTTACTGTAAAAGTTCTAGCTTATGAGCTTCCTTGCTGAAGTCCCCAGTTTTACTAGTGACACAGAGAGATGAAGCTTACCTGTCAGCGGGCCCTCCGGGGCGAACACATGTTATCACAACCGGACGAGATTTATTCCTATCATCGTGCGCTCCCCCTAGCAAAGAACAGAAATAAGGCTTAACACGCTCTCATTGTTGCCATTTTAAAAGTTCACTTAGGAGATGCCAGCTGAGGAAGCAAAGCACATCTGTGTGATGTATGGAGGACATCATGCCAGCTTTCCTCTGGCACAGAAGGACTTTACAGGTCTCCTTCTTTCATGGAGAGTCGGCTGTGGAAGTCGCCATTTCTTCACCTCTCAATAAATACATGTGGTACCAGGGCTGGTCTAGAAAAGAGTTGACAACCTGTGTGGCGAGAGCGCCAACTAATTGCCATAAATCTCAGCCACTTAAAAGAGCTTCTAGCAATAAGCAAAGTATGAGTGTGTCAGCCTGGTGATGGCCAGCCTGTGCTGTAAGCCATAGGAGCAAATCTGCAATGTGACATAAAAGGAAATAAAAATTAAAGTTAAAAAAAATCCAAGTTTAAAAAGAAGAGGAAATCCAAGTGACTGACATGGTACCAATTACAATGGAGGTGTTCACCACCACCCCCTTTTGACAATTGGGAGGACTGTGTCACCATATTTTTAGAAACACAGACCCTTCAAGATCGAAGGTAATGCATGATAGATGATGGTTTTCATCCAGGGCCCCTTGGCTCCCCTTCCTCCATCGATGCTCCTCAGTGGCTCCTGGGCAGTCCCTAGTGCGACCTGCCTGCTGGACTGGAGGCAGGCTGTTTGACAGGTGCGCACGGCGGAGTGCTAACAGGACTATGGCCAGTGGGTGAAAGTTAAACGAAAAGAATTGGAGAAAGTTTTAATGCTCATATGTGTACAGATTTGCCTCCCATCTGGCAAGGCACTGGAGAAGCTGGGTTATATGAGTGAGGAAGAATGCAGCATCAGGATGGGAGCAAGCTGGTTAACCACCTGCAATATGCAGATGACACCACTTGCCGGCTGAAAGTGAGGAGGGCTTGAAGCACTTGCTGATGAAGATCAAGGGCGGCAGCCGTCAGCGTGGCTGACAACTCCATGTCAAGACCCAAACCCTCACACCAGTACCAACAAGTAACATCAGGAGAAAAGGATTCTTTTGCAAGGATCCTCAATCAATGCTCATGGTGGACCTAGTCAATATTTAATAACGAGAGATACTATTATAAAGTGTACTTCCTAGGGATGGACTACTATTTCCAAAACTTGGCACAGGTAAAAGTGAGCAAGCTTTCTCTAAGAGAAACATGAAAAGGCATTGTAATATATTCACGCCAATGGTCAAAAACTCCATTTCAATATTTGATTCTTTCATTGAACTTGATAACTTCTAAAATTCCTCTTCCCTGAAACTTGGAAATTCACCACTTTTTCAGATTCATTTCCCCCCCAATAAATATCATGACAATTATACATAGCAACTGCTTGCCCACACCAATATGAACACTATGAGAGCTTCACTTTGTCGAGGGGAGCACAGCAGGCTGGTGTGCTTTCCCCTAGAGCTGGCAAAGGCCGGGGGCTGAAGAAGGCAAGAGACCTTTCCAACAAGGTGACTTAGCCTGAGTCCAAACAAGCACGTGAAAACGAAGGCAGGGCAAGTCCGTGAGCATGCCACATTTTTAGATATGCGACATTTGAGTATGGTTTAACATAACGAACACGTTTCATTCATCATTTACTTAGGTCTTAAGAGTGTGAAGCCTGACAGGAAAGCAGGCGTCGGGCAGAGAGCAGTGGTATTCTCAATCTTGGCTGTATGTTTGCATCACCTGGGATTCCCCCCACCCTTTTTTTCGTTTCTAGAAATGAAAGAACTTATTGTATCCTTCCAGGCTTTTCCATAAGTAAGCAATATCAAATGCCATAGAGTACATTAATTGGAAAGGCATAATTAATAAGTGATCACATTCAAAAAGGGAACACGTTACTTTCAGGAATCCGCAGAACTTTCACTAAATGGAATATCTATCAGAGCTACAAGGAACACCCTGAATTGCAGAATCTAAAGCTAGTATAGACTGCTGCTGCTGCTGCTGCTGCTGTAAAATGAGAGTTGATGAGACTTTGGGACCACAATCAACAAAAATAACCACCATAACCAGTTATCTTTCTAGCCATCATTTCTTCCTGATAGGTTGTCCCTGAGTTTTAGACCTGTACTCCTATAACCAACTGTCTACTGACGTCTCCATCTACCCCCGCCACCACCTCACCAGGCCTCAACCCCTCACCAAGCCGAAAATGAAATGTATCTTTCCTGTTTTCTCTTCACCAATCCATCCATCTCCAGCGCCTGCTCTGCCAATAGCAAACTTGAGAAAGAGAGAAGCGGGCAGGGAACTTCTTTGGTGTTATCCTCTGGGCTGTGGTGTTCACAGCTGAACCTGGGTGTTCTCCTGCTGAACACAAAACAATTTCCCAGAACACCAACACCAGACAAGGCCACTAGGACCGATCCGGACAAAAGCAAAATCACAGGTGAAGTAGGTTTGAAAATTCAAAACACGAGCCTTGCCCAAACCTCTACCAGCCACAGCGTCATTCTTCAAGCCTCAGAAGATCAGTTGTGATCGCCACAGGATTATCCTCACTTCCTGACAGCACCCAAGCCAGAGAAAAGTTTGCGCCCTAGAACAGTTCTTCAAACCACCTAACCAAAGCCTAGCCCTCGGAATTCTTTTTCACGCCTCTTCGTGGGATTCTGTTTGAACTCCACATCTCTCCTGGATTCTGCTCCTCCCACTCTACATCTCTTGCATCCTCTTCACCAATCTACACGTGCCTCTAAGAACAAAACACTCACCTATTGAAGGTGTGTTTCTGGTGGTCTTTGGACTGGGGGAAGGAGTGAGGAGAGACAACGTCACCCCCTTTCCTTGGTTTCTCCTTGTCTGTATCCCCCTGCTCTGAGGTCACCTGGTCCTCTGCCTTCTGCCTTCCATGGATTTTGTGGGCTAGTGCCCACAATGTGCTGCCCTGGTGAGAGTTCAGAAGTGTGACTTTTCTTCCCTATCAGGACTTCCGGGGCAGAGTGCTTTCCTGCACTTTGTATTCACCTGAGATGCTTTTAAAAACCGTCACTGCCAAGGCGACAGTGTAGAGCAGATCAAGATATCTGGTAGCGTATGTCAAACGGGTGGACTACTCTACATTTCATGGTCAGCCGCTCTCTGGAAGTGCTTTCCCTGCTCAAAGCAATAGCCAACTACCTGGAAGAGCGGTTTCCCTAGAAGTCCAAACCATCTTCCTGGCTTGGCGGCAAGGGAATTCGTTGACATTAAACTGCCCAAGGTGGAGGTCAGAAAACCATTTTTCATTCATAGATCTAGTGGTCGATTATTTGGGGAGTCAGGGTTGAGAACCAGGGATTTAAGGGAATTAGAAAGAACTCCATCCATCTGCTAGCATTAATGTTCAAGGACCTATTCTCAATGGTGATGAGAAATTCTTTAGTGCTAAATGAATATGCTCCCTCTGCAAATGAACATATCTTCCCCCTTTCTCCTGACTTTCCTGGGATTCCCTGTTGCCTTCAGTGCAGCTCAGATACCCGCTCTACCATTACGTCTTTATCTATCATGGTAGTATTTATCGACAGTCTTCTATCATTCTGCAAGTCTTATTGTAAGTAATCATTCTGAAGGGATGAGAGAGAGAGCAAAGCGTTTCCTTAAGCAAAGGAGACCCTCCACACGGAGGGTCTTAGATATTAGACCTTCGAGCTCTTCTAAAAATGTAGATTTTTAGGTCCTCACGCTGATTTTAACATGTAAGTATATATTTGGTTCTCATTGCGAAATTCCAAGAACTTTTATTTTTATGTACAACCAATGTCCTAGGAAGTTATGAAAGCCAACAAAAACATCGTACTCACAAACTAATTTCAGTTCATTATTACTAAGAAGTCTGATGCCCACATAAGACTAAAAAACATTATTTAATTAGTTAAGTGCCTAACATGTATCAGCCAGTATTCTAGGCCTTTATCACAAAACTACTATCTTGTGTAGTGTGTATCTGTGCACAGGTATGCACACACACACACACAGATATATTTGAAATTCCTGAAAAATATGGGAAGAAACTTTTGTTAACAGTACATCATTAATTGTCTTGAAGAAGCTGTGAATTTAATCACTCCTATTCTTTTATTTCTTAGTTCTCAGCCATTTTACTATTAGGGACAACAATCACTAGTGAGGGATATTGGCATCAGCAGTGATATTTTCACTACAGCTTTTCTATATTTGGGCTTCTTGCATATGACTCAAGTTTCTGTTAGCTATATCGTCAAACAGATATATACATACCACCTCATCAAGTCGAAAATATTTGCATAGTGACTTTCCATGATCTTCACGTAACTCTTTCACACAGCAATTTGGAAATAAGAAAGAGAAGTGTCATTTGGAATCTGTTGCTCCACTTGAAAATAGGCCTTGGTCCGAAAAATGTGATGGCTGCAGGTCTAAACCACTCAGTGAGTCCCAGTTCCCTGTGCTCCGAACCACTCACTTCATCCATGGTACTTGATCCGTTTACGTCTTAAATTCACTGGGCTGTAATGCCCTGTGGATGGGAGTCTTGTCTTCTGTCTCCACAGTACTTTATCCTATGCTGGCATATTATCACAGGCTCAATAACTATTTGATTGATTGGTTTGCTAAATGATTGACAGGCAATGGGAACAGTTCAGTCACTGAAGACCAGTCTACACAAATGTACACAGCAACTTTGTCTAATATTATGAATTCATGGTTCAATAATTTTCATAGGATTTTCACTTTGGTGAAGCACGAAATGCTGCACGTGAAAAGAGCAACCGTCACCACATTAAGCAACGTGGACTCTGGTGCTTCCATGGTTTTCTATCAAAACCCATGGTCACAGCAGGAAACCATGAGCTGTTCGTGCAGGTGTCCTCATTAAGGGCCAAAATGGCTAATAATAAGAATAAAATATTAAAAGACAGAATTAGAGCTCTCTAGGAATGATTTTATAGTTAGGCTGGAGCTACTTAGAATCTATACCACTGTCATCTCGTGTGAAAGTAAATGGAGTTTTAATTTAAATCAAGCAACTGCACATTGATACGCATAGGCGATGTGATTACCTTCAACACCCCCCACCTTTATTTATAGCACCAAAATAACACAATGTATTTCAGAAGAAAATAATTATACCCAGTTGCTTCATCCAAGTGTATTAAGTCAAGCCAAGCCGTAATCAACACTTTTGACTCACCGATAATACAGTTAAGTATGAATGAAAAGGAAGGGGAGGGGGGAAACATGCTGAAAAAGAAAATGTTACTAATTGACTGAATGCATAAGGTTTCAATAATGACTTCTTCCTCTGTATTAACGGACCGAAATGGAAGTGAGACCAGAGGGACTCCATGTTGCTGCTCATTCATTGTTTCGTTTATTTTAGAGACTAATGGTACACATACTATAAGATGGCTTTGCACACTGGGAACATCGTTTTGTTTGAGGATGATTTTCTACTTAATTCCAAATACTTCACTGATCAGTGCTCTAAGAACTGATGATTCCTATTGTCTAATAACCACCTACCTCGTATCACAAACCCAAAGGTGTTGCCTTCTTTGTGTAAAGTGACCTCCACTGTCCGGAAAACGATACCCGATCCTTGCACAGCTAGATACAGAGAGAGAGGGATCCGTAAATATGAAGTCATAATAATACATTCACATTTTTGATGTGGCCTAACATATTCCCATTGCAAATGTTTTTTGCTCTAAATAATAAAAAATCAGTACTTGTCTGAGAAAGAAAACCTTAGGGTGGGGGGCAAGAGTAAAGACATACAAGTACCACAACATAGTCACTGACATTGATGAATCAGATAAAACCAAACTCACAGCTACTTTCTTTCCTCCAGTGGGGCACATTTCTGATAAAAGGGTAATATTTATAGCCTTCAAACTCTACATAGCAAGAGGCATGGCAGTATATGATAAATAAAATTGCTTTCCTGTTGTTAAGTGCAAAAAATACAATTTTTGAAAAACTTACAAATTGATCTATGTATTTTTAAAATTTTTTTGAAATGGAAATGGGAGAAGCATATTGCTCTCAGATTGCTATCAAGAGGTTAAACTGAAAATCAGTTGCTATCGATGTGACGCTAATCTCAGGCAACTCCGTGTGTTGTAGGCTCAGTCGCACTGCATTCTGAGGGGATCTATGACTACGACCTTTTGCACGTAGATCTTTCTTCTGAGCTGCCTTTGGGTAGGTTCGAACCCGCAACCTGTAGGTTGGTAGTAGTGGGATCAGCCAGGGACTCCTCTCATTCGACTGGGCTGATGCAAGAAGGTATTCTGTTATGAGCAATAACGATTACACAAAAGGACCCGCACTCCAAATGAAATGTAAAGGACAAACGATGGTATAAGGCCCTTCACAAATACGCCTACTGACTAACAAAAAAACATGCTTAATTTTCGTTCCTACCCTCACAGCCTTGCTGTTTTCTCTGGTAATTGTCGGCATTTTTAAAAGCTAATTGCACCGCCGACTTCATGTTCTCAGTACCTTACATAGACGCACAGGATGTCAGTGTGTGTCAGGTACAAATCGCTTACATATTCTGAAAACTACTTTCAAGAAACCGGTGAGCGCTTCTGGTAGTACATTATTGCTGCAGCTTTAAAAATGAAATGTCCATACAGTAGCATTTTTATCATTATTGATACAAACCCACAGCCATTGAGTCAATTCTGAGTCATGTTTTTATTCATTATGACAGGTAAACATGCAAATTACATTAATTGATGGAAAATGTGTAAATTATATAAATTAATGATATATAAGTTTGAATTTGCACATAGTAATCTAACCATCTATATCTGTGTTCGTTATCAACAATACAGTCTTACATTAATGTTAGTAGCTCCTGAAGGAGTCATTACGTAAAACTATCAAAAAGAAATATCTAGACAAAATTTAAAGGCTAGCTGTATGATAACTTTTTCCTTTGGCCATTTACAGAAGTAGCAATTGGTTTTAATTAAGAATTAATTACAATTATTTTTAATGATCGGAACTTCTGAGCACTCAGAGGAATGGACATGATTATGAAAAGTACATATTTAAATTCAGAAAACTGCACACTACCCGGTTGGGATATAAAATGCTATAAGACCTTGGATCAGCTGAAACCAACAAAAACCTAGAGCTGAACAAATGTTTGGCATACTGCCGATTTAATTAAATGTCATATTCTGGCCATGCAGGGAATTTCAGTTTATTCTAATTGACTAGTACATACAAACAACTGAAGGTGTTGAGGTACAGTTTTAATTAAATGAAACAAAAATTGAGTTTGAACCAAATGTTTTCTTATTTCTGCAGCCCACCAGTCACTTGAAGAAAGTGATTAAAAACATGATCTTTGTGCTGCCGTGGCGAGGCAGGGAAGGGAGGGATGTCAGAGGAACCATTAGTGAGCATCTCTTGTGTGCCAGGGTCTTTATGAATGGTTTGCAAATATTATTTCACTTAACCCTTAAACCAGCTTTCAATTATATGTGACCAAATCCTGCTTCTGAGCCACCTGGCCTTGCTGGCTGCATGTCCAGCCTGGGGATGCAGAGGGCTCTGTGGTGCACTTTTAAATTTCCTTGACATGAATCTTATGGGCCAAACACGGCTTAAATTACATCGAAAGTCAATACAAATCATTTTTGGATTATTTACAACTTTAGATTACCTACGCCGTGGCTCTCTGTCATTTGCATTTTCATAAAGGACAGTGAATGCTAACTACAGCTTAATACAATTAATGGCGTCGATTTGGCCTTTATACGTTTTTTCTTCTTTCGTGGCTGGTTTTTGATAACTGGGTTTTCACACTCAATACTCACACACTCAACACTCAATCCTATGGTCATGTGACTTTGCCCATTACATGTGTGAATTAAGTGGTTAACCCCAAGAATCAAAGCCAATACACCGAAGAACAAGCTAATATACAGGGAGAAACAGAGTTTCCCAACTCAGAAAGGCTGCTCTGAAACATTTTAGTTATCCTGTGTTCCCATTTCCATGAGAATATAAATGCATCAATTTCTATGTTATTTTACTATGCTAGATCTTCAAAATGACATACTTATTCCCTGCTCCCTACTCTACCCCATAACTCACTAGAACAGGATTTTAAAAAACAGTCTTATTGGCATGTACTTCGCACATTGTACAATTGAAGTGTTCCATCACATTAGGAAGAATGTGCAGTCATCACCACAATCCATTTCAGAACATTTTCTTCTTTCTTGGACTCGTTGTTAGCTCTTCATCCCCACCTCCCCAACTTTCGCTGTATTTCCCCTAGGTAATATATTGTCTTCTATCATTTTACCTATCCTGGATTTCATAGACAGAAAATCGTACAAAACAAACAAAAATGACAAAATAAAATTTAGAAAAACCTCAATTGAAAACAGACAGAAAATATTAAAAACTTAAATAATGCTAAGAAGTGCCAAAAGGGGGATCAAATGCTAAAGTGTTACATTTTACCCTAACTTCACCTGCCACAATTGACAGAAAGTTTATTCACACCCCCAGACTGTGGTCAGAGGAGATTCGCTGGAAGCTTCCTCTATGTGGGGACACTGCAAATGGATTTTGGGCATCTACTGTCATCCATAGCTTTCTACAAACCAAGAGCTCAGAATTTAGGCTTGGATCCCATACCCTCCTTCAGACTTGGATTTTATAACTTATAATCATTGGATCACACAGACTGGTGTGCTTCTTCCATGTGGACTTAGTTGATGTCTCACTTAGATGGCTGCTGGTTTGAAGACAAGCCTTTTAGACCCCAGATGCACCATCTGACTTCTTCACCACACGTTGCTAGCATTTGCATCTTCCAGGGATCATTTCATGAGGGTAAGTACGGCCATGTCACAAGAACAAATTGTTCTTAGATTAAGGCTACTTATATATGTCTTTGGTTAACTTTAGAGATAATCATTATCATTTTACAATAGAGAGCACTATAAATCATTCCCACAGGGCATTAAGCAATTCTATTGCTAGTATCATTAATTTAACCAGTGGTATAGAATTTAAAACACTATTGAGAAAAGAAAATTATACACGCACAGGTCCAGCTTTTCAGCCCACGATACATGAATTGCTGACTTGTACAGATTAAAAGCTTCGGTGATTGGATACTGTACTAAAATGAAGGCTGGGAAAGTTGTATGTTTCATCGTTGCTACATCGCACCTTGACTGGCTCGTTTCCTCCCCGAGACCCTTCTGTAAGGGGATGTCTAGTGGCCTACAAATGGGCTTTGGGTCTCCACTCCTCACTCCCCACCTCATTCACTGTGATATGATTTTTTTGTTCTGATGATGCCTGATACCTGCTCCCTTCGACACCTACAGCTTTCCTCTAGTTCCTAAATGCTTCCTCCTCCTCCACTATCTTGATCCCAATTCTACCTTACAAATCTGGCTAGACCAGAGGATGTACACTGGTACAGATTGGAACTGGAAACACAGGGAATCCAGAACAAATGATCTCTTTAGGACCAGTGGTGTGAGAGGCGATACGGGGAGGGTGGAGGGAATGTGGATTGGAAAGGGGGAACCGATTACAAGGATCTACATGTGACCTCCTCCCTGGGGGACAGACAACAGAAAAGTGGGTGAAGGGAGACATCGGACAGGACAAGATATGACAAAAGAATAATTTATAAATCATCAAGGGTTCATAAGGGAGGGGGGAGCGGGAAGGGAGGGGAAAAAATGAGGAGTGGGTGCCAGGGGCTTAGGTGGAGAGCAAATGTTTTGAGAATGATGAGGGCAATGAATGTACAAATGTGCTTTACACAATTGATGTATGTATGGATTATGATAAGAGTTGTATGAGCCCCTAATAAAATGATTTTTAAAAATGAAGGCTGGGGATAGAACAAAACTTTCAATAACACTCATTTACAAGGGCAGAAGCATGCCTGCCAGACTAACACATGTGGGGAAAGAAACATAGAGATCATAAAAATAGTAAATCTGTAATCATCCCGGGCTGCCATTCATTGGGTACCGGCAGAATAAGAGATCTGAAGCAAAGTCCAACCACCCCCAATTCCATAACCCTGGGATAGTGCTCATCTTCTTTAGGGCATTGTAGGCTTAAATCCAAAGGAGTCCGTCTGTTCCTTGAATTTTCTACAGGCAAGTTCTATTCCTGAAGGAAGTTGTGTGTCTTGGAAGGACAGGGTCTGAAGTCCCAGTAGTCTCTAGCACACAGCCCGAGTCACTGAGGAGTGGATGGAAACTAGGTCAAATGTGTCCCATTAGGAACACAGTAGCAAGTGTATTCTCCCTTGGGTTCTATATACATATTGTTAGGCATCCCCCTCCCCCCATGACACGCTGCTCCACTTGGTTCACCCATCAAGAGGAGTGTAATTGCCTTGTCCAAGACAACCATGTCCTCCACCTCGTGTTTTGACTTGAGTTTCCAGTAAGTTTCCCTCATCATTCTTGTAAGGGTGTCTATTGATTTGGGGCGATCTTACGACAGTGTTGTATGGCAACAACTGATTGGTCTTCCCAGCTGAGGTGAGGCCTCCACTATTGAAGTGGGTTTTGTGATGTACAAATAAAGGGGGTGATATATGGTTCTTGGGCACTAGACAGGCTCACTATTTTGTTGTTTGGAAAATCGGGTTAGAAGATTACATGACCTGAGAGTAGAAAAGCAGTACAAAGTCTGCCTTTGTCTTGCTATCTGTCCTTATGGTAGTGGACTTTTACAATATGTGTCCTTCTGACTCATTTCACTCAGCATAATGGTTTCCAAGTTCCGTCCATTTCAGGTGTTTCATCACTGTTTTTTAGGAATGCACAAAATTCCATTGGGTGGATGCACCAGCGTTTCTTTATTCAAGTAGAATAGCATTTGTGTTTTTTCCAATCGCATTGTGCTGGGCTTGCCATGGGACTTGACTTGGTCAACAGGATGTGGAGAGATGCAAACACTGGCTGGACATGTGCTATCTGTGGTTGGGCCTGCTTTTTTTCCCTCTACCATTAACACAAGAGCATCCTTTGAGTAGCTGCTGGCCCTTCAGACTGGATGCTAGCATGAACCCCTTGGAGGAACCTGAATCACACTGGGAGTCAGAAGACGAGTGGCCCAAGTGAGTCCAGCCCTAATCAGCCAACACAGCGAGAAAGAACCAGTGCTGTTTTAAGCCACTGAGCTTGGGAATGAATTGCTTTGCAGTCGCTGAGAGATTTACTAAAATGTTAATTGTATCAGGTCACGGGTTGGCACACGACTGATTTAATCAAATGTCATATTCTTGCTGTCGGGAGTTTCGGTTGATTCTAATCAACTAGGAACAATATATACAAATAGCTGAAAGTGTTGAGGTACAGTTTTAATTAAATGAAAAAAAAAAAAACCTGAGTTCACACCAAAGGTTTTTTCTTATTTCCACTTGAGAAACGTGATTAAATATAGGATATTTTTATTCTCTTGATAAGGAAGGAAGGAAGGCATAGTGGATATTTATGCTCTCTCATCAAACAGGAAGAAGAGGAAAACAAAGTCCAGAAATCAGCAGTTCCTTACTGATAACAGATTAGAATCCATGACCCTTGGCATATTACTTATTCAAAGTTACTGACCTACAACCCCAACCCTTCTCAGTTTACCTGTTTTCCTTCAAGAACTCCCTGCCTGATTTGTGGGGCACAATTTTTAGGTGTTCATCTCACCAGGGCTGATGGTACTTCATCTGTAAGCCATGGCCCCCGAGTTATATTTTTCTTGTGCTTGGCTGGATGGCCACACTCGCCACAGGCCAGGCTCTGAAGGCGACAGGCCTTAGAGGTACCGGAGTGGTGCACTGCGTGGGTCTTATTGTTTAACTTCCCAAGGGTGGCGGTTCCTTCATGATCTTGCGCCTTTAACCGAGACCCCAAGCTATCTTATCCATGTGGATATACCACATAAAACAGGCTATTTAGTAGGATTAGTGTGTTTATTTTAATTTTAAAAGGGCTCCTGATAGAAAAGTAGTTTGCTTTTGGTTGCTGATTTAACAGCGAGACTGTCTTGACAATTATGGCAAATGCTTTCTGCAAAATCATTAAATTAAATCTGTAGCTGCAAGGTTTGAATGAAAACAATACTGAAAGACACAAAATAAACAAAAGACATAAAATGCTGGAAGTTACATTCTTTTGAAGTGTGTTTTAAGTATAGTAAATATATTTAGGGGCTAGGTTAAAAAGTGGGTAAAGATCTTATACCATTTAAAAATTCTTTTAAAAGTTGCACTGATGGAGGTGAAAGAGTTAGCTCCTGTTAATCCATCTACTGAAAATGGAGCATAGTTTGGATTTGGCCGGTTGAGATTTAGCTTGTGAAAAGGGACTCAAGATGTAAACTGCCCCCTCCCTGACCCCACCCCCCACCCCCAGTAGTAAACATTCCTTTTAAACCTAATCAGTAAGGATGCTCTAATTCAGAAAAGGGGAAGCAGGGCCATTTTGATAAGCAATGGAGCCTGAAATCTTCGGGAGCCTTAGTGGGGCACGGGGGAGGTCTGATAGCCTCCAGAGTAAAGAAGATATAAAATGATGGTCTGATAATCTCTTCGGAAAAGGTACACTGTTTTCCCGTGAACCTTGCTCCTTTTTGTTCCATTGCTCAAAAGTCCTCTGATGATTGTAAAACCTGGAATTACCTCCTGGGATGAATGAAAACTGTTTCTTGTCACATAGTCTAAGGTATATAATTTGCTTGATTTTCACTGAATCGTTGAAGCAGTTTGGAGGCAGCATATCCCACTGTTTCCTTTTCTTAGCACTTGAAGGAAGAAACAGAATTTTTCAAATCAACCTTGCCTCTGTCTTTGGCTGAAACAGTGACGGACTCTCCTGACCCCTTCCTAGTTTTCTGGCAACAGAGTGACCAAAAATGTTTGCAGGCATTCTAGCACGTCTGTAGCTTCAAATTATTTAAGATCTTGTTGGGCATTGTTGTCCCTAAAAACTGTCTCAAAACAACACATATTTTTAAAAGAGGAAATTAAATAGAAAACCACGTAGACCAACCATTCCTTTTTCATAAAAATGAATCTCAGAAAAGACTGGCTGAACTGAAGTCAAACTTCAGTGTTTGTTCCACTAGATAGCACGAGCATGTGTTCATGTGAGTGCTCATGGGCATGCACACACACACACTCCTATGGCGTTCTTTCTGGACTCTGGGGTGGCTCAGCCTCAAATTGCTGTGATGATTGAGAGATCTGCCAGTCTCAGCCTTGGGCTTCTTATCTCTCAGCAGTCATTTCTCATCACAGGGTCTCCCTTGGCTGAGAGCAGTCAGCTTCAGCCCTAACTGTCTGAGCTAGGCAAAGAGATGGCTTGTTAACCTTCTGGGCCTCATGAACTCAAAGATTAAAAAAAAATTTTTTCCAAACAGAAAGAGGCAGAGATAATTCTAAGTAAACAGACCTCTTTTATTTCCATGCTTGTTTTTAAATATATACATATTTCTTTTTCCCATAGTTTTATTCCATGAAAAAGGAAAAACTTGTCTGGTCACCCAAGCATTAAAGGCTTTAATTCTGAAGTATTTCTCATACCTCCCCTCTCATTTTTAACCCTCAAAAGCCATACACTCATTGCCATCAAATTGATGTTGCTTCCTAGCAAACCTATAGGACATCATAGAAGTGCCCCTGTGAGTTTCTGAGAATGTAATGCTTTGTGGGAGCAGAAAGCTTTGTCTTCCTTCCCAGGAGCAAATGGTGGCTTTGAACGATTCATCTTGCTGTTAGCAGCCCAATGAGCAACCACTATGATACCAGGGCTCCTATTACCACTGTTCGATTCACCCAGACTATTACCTCTCTTTTAGAAAACTGAAACAGCCCTCGGGCTTATAGCTGCTGAATTCTTCTCCTATAAGGATAAAATTAAACATTTACAGCAGACGATGTTCTTTCCTAGCTTTAAGAGCTTTATAAAGCTCTGTTTCCCCTTGAGCTTCAAGCTCCACCACGTGGCCCCCATTGGGCTCCTGCTTCCCTCTCTGGCTCCATCCCTCCCCAGGCTTTCTCACGTGGTCCTCTGCACGCCAGCGACTCCCATCGGTTTCTGGGCCAGCCTGAAGTGACCGCCTGCAACGACTCCTCTTGTTTGGCTGCATCATCTCTTTCAAGTCTATTCAGAAACTCCCAACTCTGGGTCACCCATAATACTCAGCAAATCTTCACTACTGACTGCCCTTACTTTTGGAAGCTATATACCAAGAGTTCCTTTTAGGAAGTGCTGTGTTTTGTTGATAGTTGTACCCCCAGTGGATAAAGTGGATAACCAAAGAACATGAGTGCCACATAGGTGGTTTCCTCTGGGCAATGGTTTGAGATCGTGCTTCCAAAGCAAATTGACTCTTGAAGTTTCAGAAAAAATCAGTGCCTTATGTGGAATATGGAGCCTTGGTGGTGTAGTGGTTACACGTTGGGCTATTAACCACAAAGGCAGTTGCTCAAAACCACTAGCAGTTCCTTGGGAGGAAGATGAGGCTGTCTACCTCTAAGTGAGGTCCCCCTCACTCTTATTGTTTGCTTATTTTAGATTTCCTGTCCCCACCCCTTTTTAAAGAGCACACGAAAACAAAATAAAGGGAATACTGGCTCCCGTAGCTCTGCTCACAATGGCTTGGTTCTCTGGGCGGATCACTCAGATCCTGGACATACTAGATCTTGTTCTTTCTTCTTATTGACTCATTTTTCCTCCATATCTTTTGCAAATTTCACAGTGTCCAGTGTTTGTTCAGGGTCAAGGAAAGTTAGATAGCACAAAGAGATCATGTGACCTTCTGATCAGCAGAGGGCTGATAAAAAGGGGGCAGTTCTCTCTTGTTCTGCAGGCCACTGTGATTCACAGTCAACTCAATGGCAGTGAGTTTGGTTTGGTATGGGTAATAATAATAAAAATAGCTCATATTATGTTTGCTTACTACGTGCATGACTGATTTTAAGCACTGCAGAGCATTGAATCCTCATAAAAAGCCAACGGACAGTTAACTGGGGCCACCATCCAAGCTCTTAACACTCTACTATATATTACATTGGCTGACATTCACATAACACTGTCATGGAACACCAATCCTATAATATCACTGTCCTCTTTAATCTTTCCTGTATAGGATATGTCTCATAGGAGTCCTGGTGGTGTAGTGGTTACACACTGGGCTGCTAGCCACAAGGGCAGTAGTTCAAAACCCCCAGCTGCTCCTCAGGAGACAGATGAGGCTTTCTACTCCTGTACAGAGTTAAAGTCTTGGAAACCCACTGGGAAGTTTCTACTCTACTCTAGGATCACGACGAGCCAGCATCGACTTGATGACGGTGAGTTTGGGTTTGTTTGTTTGGTTGGTTTGTTTTTTTTTTTTTGAGGCTATATGCTTCTCCATTCCAATATTTTTAATATTATGAACCTCTCAAGGAATCTTGTCATTCCTAACATGAGACCGTGATTACAAAAAGGGCGTGGGGGTGAGGAACCAATTCCTTAAAAAAAGAAAAAGGAGGGAGTGGGAGGATATATTCATGCTGCTCCTGGGTTGTGATTACTTACAGACCGGAGGCAGCTCGTACTCAACTTCAAGAACCACTCTCTCCCCAACGTTCTTCAGCAAGCTGATGATCTCGTCATGGCGGAACTTGGCCAGGTTGATTCCATTCACCGCTTTGATGTAGTCACCCACATCCAGCTGATCACTTCTGCAAAACAGGGCGCTCTGTTCAGTGGGCCACTCATGAGGTTCAACAAGCAGGAGAGACGCCTGGGCGATGGCTGGCCCTTAAGAGTTAGAGCACCATACAACCAAGGATGCAGGAGAGGTTGAAAGGGTCCCCCTCACTCTTATTGTTTGCTTACTTTAGATTCCCTGCCCCTACCCCTTTATAAAGAGCACACTAAAACAAAATAAAGGGAACATTGGCTCCTGTAGCTCTGCTCACACTGGCTTGGTTCTCTGGGCGGATCACTCAGATCCTGGCCACACTAGATCTTGTTCTTTCTTCTTATTGACTCATTTTTCCTCCATGTCTTTTGCAAATTTCACAGTGTTCAGTGTTTGTTCGGGGTCAAGGACAGTTAGATAGCACAAAGAGATTATGCGACCTTCTGATCAGTAGAGGGTTGATAAAAGAAAATGACAATAAGCCTGCTGGGTTACAGTCGCAGCCCATGTCTCCTCATCACCACCGCAGGAGCCTGCTTCTCTACTTCTCACCAAGAGCAGGCTGCAGGACCGAGGAGAGGACTGGACATTCGGGACGCTGATTGGGCCCTTCAATAGCATTTCCCCCCAACTAGAGATAGCTGTGGTCCTTTACGGAACTCTTCCTTCTGAGAGCCTTCCTAATCCAAGCCAGCCTAGAGTTCCTATTGCCACTCTGACTTCAGGTGTCCGCCACTCATTGATTGTGCTATTTCTTCCCTAGGGGCTCTGTGACAATCTTGCGTTGTTGCCTTTTAGTGCTACACAACAAGGTTATCGCTCTCCCTTGTTTCCTGTTTTTCACACCTTACCTCCCTTAATACATTATCAACCCTTTGAGGGCAGGGACCTTATCTTTAGCGCTTTTGATTTGCTCTCTGTAAAATGGTAGTGCTTTACATACATATTAGAGGGTTGATATCAAACAAGCATTGCATTACTGTTAACCCCATCACTACTCGGATTAAAAACAGCATTTCCCCTCATTCACTCTTGTTTCAAGGGCTCCATTTGAAGCAGCTCTGGAGACATGCAAGCCCTAGCACAGCAGACTGGCCACAACTGTCATAAACCAAAGGAGGCTCTGGGTGTGGAAAGAAGCTTCTTGGGAGCCCTCAGAAAAGAGATCAAGGCGCTCCCGGTCCCTGCCAGCCACTCTTACCCACACTGCCTTCCAGAGCACTCCATTGGGTGAAGCTTATAAAGTGCTTGAGGTAAATCACCAGAAGGACCAGTGTTTCGGATCACACTTTATAAGGCAACAACTCTAAAAACTCCTTTGAGATTATGTGGACAGATAGATTGGTGCCCAAGCCTAAAGGTACTTTAACCTCATTCTTCATGAAACCTGACCATCCCATTACCCCTATCTGAGGTGAATTGAGAATTTCTCTATAAATCCTTCTCCTTAACACAACCCTGACCACACACTCCACTCAGAGCAGTCTATCACCGACAAGAGTACCATTTGTAATTCACGGGAATGGGACATCTTGATCCAAGCCGTCTATCTGTTTGGAAACCACCTTTTTGACTGGATAAAAAGGAGAATGCCGCCAGTAGAAAAGTAAGCAGATGTGGCAAAAGCAACCTTCTTAGTCAGAAACTTGGAGTTGGCCTTTAACCATTTCCCTCTAGGGCAGGCCCTCCCACACCCCTCCCCGCCCTGTCGCCTGCTGTTCAGCAAGCAGTCCTTCTGGGACTAGATCCAAACAGGCATTTTCATATTCAGCCCTTCTGAAGGCCCGGCTGCTCCGGAGGTGACAGGAGAATCTCCCTGGTGACTCTGGCAGTGGCCAGCAAGCCATATGGGCAAACCTCTGGGGCAGCTTCTGAAACGCAGCCCTCTGGTAGCTGTCATTTATTTATCAGTGACCTTTCCGAACGATGCTTCCGTTTTTGCATTCATTACAAACACCCTTCCACCCCCCGTTCCTTTTTCTACACTTCCCAGAGATGCAGTTACCTCGCAGCAATGCCGCCTTGCCGCAGATTCGAAACCCTTGGCTTGCCATCCTTATCAATGCCTCCAGACACGGTCAGACCGAGGGTCGTGCCTTCCTTCTTCATCAGCTCAACGACTGTGGAGCCCTTGAATTCCTCTGTTAAGACAAAAGGGTTCGCAGCATGAAACGGGAGTCAAAGCACAGATGCTGCCTTTGTGTGTGGTTAAGGGGGCCCTCCTCACACATTTCCCACTTTTTATTTTCATGGGGCAAGATAGCTGCGGCTTCCTTCCACTTGCAGTGCCACGGATCTCATGAAGATGGGCATGCAGACAAGGCGGAGGCAGGTAGTGCACTGCGGGCAGGGCGCTCTAGGTGGACATGAAGTAGTGCAGCGTGGCGGGTGCACATGACAATCTTCTCCCTGGGATTTCTGCCATTCTCAAGTCACGTGGTGGCGGTGGTTGCTCTCCTCAGAACTCTCAAGGGTACAACGAAAAGTTGTAAAATGAAAACCTAGAATAGTATGTTCGATCGGGACACAAATACACACGCACAGGAGCGGATTCCCGGTCCCTGGTTCGTGTTAGCTCAGGGGGCTAACTGACAAAAAGGAGGGAGCTGTCCACCATGATGGACAATCACAATGGCACTCTGGTTTTGTTGCTATCATTCAGAAAACAAAGTAGAATGCCTTTGATGTAACAACGCATGTAATTTCTTACAGACCGTGTCACGGCATGACAAGGCAGCACTGGTCCCCAGAAGCCCCAGATAACAGCCCCTGACTCTAGGCGTTCCTTACTTTCAAAATTAAAAAAAATAAAGACACTTCACCAATCTTCTGGGGGATACTATCTATACACCAAATGGGAATGCAAATCTTTTGATTTTAGGCAGAACAGAAGATTAGGAACGTTACCCATCTCATTCCTCTCAGATAGGAGAGGGAGTAGAGTCAATATTTATTTATGCAGAGGATTCTATTTGGACATTTTCTGTGATGTTATTTCCCCTCCCTGCAAACATAGCAGGAGCTTAAAAGCATGCATGAAAAAATAGAATTAAAAGGTAATGGAATATTTCCACAAACATTTTAAAGCCCCTGGTATATGCTGGGGAGGGATGGGCAAGCGAGAGAGTGTTCCAATTCTTCCTGAATTTTCCTGGTGTTGCAATTTGGAGCTGTGGGACTTTCAGAACCCCAAGGATGCGCATATTACAATGCAGGAACAGGTTGCTTTTTCAAGCTCTAATTGTATGAGAGTTCATGCTTATTGTAAAGGCTTTTAAACTCTCGCTGGTAGGTGATCCCAAGAAAAACTGAAAAATCAAATCGTGTCAGGGAGAGAAATCACCTCTCATCTATTCCAGTGAGAGGAACAGAGGATTTGGACAGAGGTCAGGTGTGGCGGGCCACTGTCTGTCTCAGCGATGTGTGGCTAGGACAGGTTTCCAGGCATGGCTTTTCAGGCTTGTGAGGGCTAGTGAGCGTACTATTTCTGGAGGTCTGCAATCTTGTGCCTGTTTGAGGCCATTTCATACATGATAGCTACTGCTCCTCCAGGGAGATGATGAGGAAGAATCTATGCGTGGGTGTGGTGTTCCTTCCTCCAGTACCTTTCCCTGAGAGATCACATATGGTAATGAAGTCAAGACTCCTATCAAAAGCATCCAGGGGTAAGAACTTTGCTATCGTTCGCTCTAAGAATTTGTAGCAAAAGGCTACTTTCACTGTACCCGTGGCCCCATGCATCCGACAAAATATACGTGGTCTTCTCATAAGGAAGACCACGCCCACAAGGAGGTCCCATCAGGCTGTGACCTGATTGACAGGCTAGACTCCACCCCTACACGCTTATATCTTCAAGTTGAGGTGACATTAAGTAGCTACCCTGAGGGAGATGGACTGACACAGGGGCTGCCCCAGTGGGCTCCAGCAGTGGACCAGTTGTGAGGATGGCGCAGTGCTGCGGTTGGTGGGCACAGGTCACAGTGGGTCAGAACCGACTCGATGGCACCTAACAGCAGAATCCTTGATGAAAGAACCCTCGGTATATATCTATATTTAAGTTATGAAAGTAACCAAAATGGTATAGGGGACTCTTCACATTCCAGAGACAGACTGTGCCTGGCAACTTTGCCCAACGGAGGACTTCTCAGCATTCCTTCACAATGCAGGCTGCTCTGGTAGACTCACTCCAGCATCCGAGTGCTGATCTTGACTTGAGGAGTTGGAAGCATATTTTTGTAGTGCTTTCAGAAGGGTCCGTCAGAAATGAACAAGGAAGCAACTATGACGTAGGAAAGCCAGACAAGTGAAAAATAACCTTCAGGGCATAAAAAGTTTATTCATACTCAGGTTTTCAAGAACATGCTCCGCGCCTAAAAGAGGATACCAGGGCACAGATACAGCCTGAAGGGCAGTAGGCAAGGTAGATTTCTCCAGGAAGTTCTCAGGCCCTTCATAGCCTTCTGGCTGAATTCTGAAATCTACCTGGAGAGCTTAATTTCTTTCGTTTAATCTGCTATCCATTACAATACCAACGCAACCATCTGGGCTACTTTTGAACTGGTAATAGGCAATTACCCTCTCACTTAGAAATATTTCAAATCCTGCCTAAAAGCTCATTCTAATAGCATGAAAGGTAGAAAAACACTCATGGTACAAGTGACTTGCGGCACGCGTGCACTCATTGATTCAAGCATGTCTCAGACCCTCTACCACAAACCACCGCACCCAGAGAGAAAAAAAGTCCAAACTGTTGTCCTCAAGATGCCGAGAGCCTACGCAGACACAGACACGTCACACGAAGGCCACCGTGCCACAGCGGGGCAGCCACGGACCAGCGGCGAGGAGCAACCAAAGACCAGAGGTTTCACATGCCCATCTATTTCACAATTTTGTCTTCGGTTCATCCCGTCTGGGCTTATCGATCAGGATGGGGACTAAGGGAAGATTTTAAATTACATAGGTGAAAACTCAGGATGGAGCTGAGCGAGGCAAGAAAGGTGCTGACTCCCAAGATTGTTAATTGCCAATAACTGTCTTCGCCCTGGGAAGAATTGACTAAATCTTCCGTGGGTGTTTCCACAGGGAGTGGGGCAGAAGCAGCTGCAGGCAGAGGGAGGGCCCTGCTGCCAGTTTCCTGGCTGCTCACCTGAGCGCGCACCTCCACGAATCAATCGCTTTCCGTCTGTTTGGGTGTTTAATGTTTGCATAATGATCTCATGGCACAGAGAGATGAAGACAGATGTAGTCATTTGCATGCGCTCACGGTTACATCAGGCTTACCGAACAGAGCTCTGCAGTGAAGAGGGGAACTTGGGCAACTCAAGAAGCGCTGAACATTTCTTTTCTTTTGTGATTTAAATTGCAAATCTCCCTCCAAAGTAAGCAGGCCTTGTAGCAGAGGCTGTAGTGTCTCTAAATTAGTGAGCAGTGCAGGGAGGACAGTGGGGGAGGGGGCGCGAAAATGCACAACTGGCAAGGCATAGGGACGCTTGGGTTTTGCCGTTTTCTTTAGTCTCCGTGTTTAATTATCTTAGAAAATAAATTCCAGACTCACATCTGCACCCACACTCATGCCACAGAACCCCAAAGACTTTCATTGATAAAACAGGATTTAGATAGTTGTTGTTCTTCTCTTTGGGTTTTCAATTCATCCTTCGAAATACTGAGCCCCAGCAAGCTTTCTGACAAGATACATCGGTGGATAGCCAAAGAAACAGAATTCTGATAAATTCTTGCAACTAAGTTTAAAAGTTAATAAGTAGATGGTTGCAAAGGTAAGATGCAGCCACCTCTAATACCTAGCTCGGGACAGACAACGGAAGAAAGCATTTATCAGAGCCACACTTTGGACACGTTGGCAGGAGAAACCTGGCCCCGGAGAAGGCCTTGTTGCCTGGAAAAGTGGCAGGGCAGTGGCAAAGAGGAAGAGCTTTGACAAGACGGATGGACACTGCAGAGATGAGCTCCAACTTGAGGCTAGTTGGAGGACACACAGACCAGGCAGGGTTTCCTTCGGTTGCACATGGGGTCGCGATGAGTTAAAATGGACTGGACAGCATCTAACAAACACAAACAAGGAAAACCCCAGGAGAAGACGACAAAAGCTCGCAGGACCTAGTGTGGAACAGGAGTCCTGGTGGCTCAGTGATTAAGCACCCCACTGCTAACTGAGCTGTGGGAGGGAGAGAGATGTGGCCCGTCAGCTTCGCTGAAGATGACGTGCCGCCTGGAGAACCCAGTGGGCCACCTATTCTCCTCTGTCCTCCAGGGCTGCTGTGCGCCAACGGGAATGCGCTGGTTTTATTTGTAAAATCTAATATTCTAGGGGCTCTCCTGGCATGGCATAACCAAATATTGATAAGATACCACTTCTTCCTAATTCTCATTCTGTAAAGTTAAAAATTTCCATAAAAACATCAAGGGGTTTTAGTTTTGGGAGAAGCACTGGATATACCTCCTGTTAGTGCAAAAAATGAACATGTATCCTTACGGTTTACCGTGAAAAGTTGTGTCCCCAACTTGCTGCTTCATGTTGCTGTGGAAGAACAGAGAGGAAGCCAACCTGAATGAGGTGGCCGAGTTATGACTATCTGTCCATCATTGCCGAATCATAGAGCAGGGCCGGAAGCGTCCGGCCACAGACTGCACAAAGCCCACCGAATCATCACAGCAACTAACCAGCAGCAACTAGTCACCACATGGCTCGCGTCATTGAGTCGATTCCAGCGCCGAAGAACCCCATGGGACAGAAGAGAACTCCCCGGTAGGTTCCCCAGGCTGTCCATCTTTACTGCAGTTGAAAGTCTCACCGTCTTCCGAAGAACTGCTGGTGGTTTCAAACTGTTGACAAGTATGGCCCGAGAAGGATGTTATAAATATTCAAACGGCCTTTGCAGAAAGTAGATTCCCCATCCCTGGCATAAAGCAATCAAATACCCCAATGAGTGGAGACGGCGGCCTCTGAACATGCCCCACCTCACCAAAAACAACAACAAAACTGTAAACAAAAACAAAGCAAAACATAGAACTTGCTCAGAGTTTACATCTGCTTGGGCATACCAAAAAGAAACAGAAAGATAAGTATTATAGGTTTTGGACATTCGGAACGAATACTTGATTCTGATTGTTTTGCAACACTGCT